CGTTGCCTACATTTCGATTTTTCAGGGGGACCCGTGTGCATGACCAATCTGGTCACGTTTTCACTGCCTACCCAGCACTATACGCCTATGTGGCGGACTACCCAGAGACGTGCAAACTCACCTGCACCAAGTCTCTAGGTACATTCTACCCCTGTTCCTTATGCAAGGTCCACAAAACTGAGTTAGATTCCTTCACGCAGAGAGACGAATATCGCTCATCCGAAGAACAAGATGTCATCTACAAGGCCGTCTCTGCACGGCAACGAGGGGGGCCTCACCCGCAAACCTACAGCACTCATCATGTGGAGGTAAGTGTAACCCAATCCACTGTTTTTGCGTCATATACTATTCATGTTTCACTCAACACTCTCCTGTCATTCTCAACCCAATGCAGTGTGCGCTTCATGGCTTCCGTTTCGAGTCAGAGCCGTGGGGCAGCCCTTATATGGCGGTGATGCCAGACCTAATGCATCAGGCCGATCTTGGCATGCTGGAGCACATTATTGCCGCCTTGAGAGGGGTCATTGATCAAAAACACCACGTCGCCATTGACGAGTACGTTACATCGCTTGACACCATTTCTTTCTAAGATTCTACTGTGCATAAGACTAATGTATCTCTCTCTCCTTCGTTGCAGCATCTTGAAGCACCTGAAGTTGACATGTCGGGTTGATGGTTTGCGCCTACCATCTGGCGAGTATTTCCGTCTAGGTGCTTCGTTCCAAGCTTACGAGCACAGGTCTGTCATGCAAATCCTTCCGTTCCTCATTCGAGACTATGTGGCGAAACCACACATGGATGCCGTTGTGGCATACATCGAGTGGTATCACACGTGTGGGAAGACGAGAGACTATGACGAGGAAACATTGACAAAACTCGAGGAACAATCCAAGAGGTACGTACGCCCCACATGTTGCATGTATATCATTGTAGTATGCCCTTTGACCTGACTATGACTTGTGTGATTGTATTTGCAGGTTAATTGAGCTTCTAAAAAGGAGCTTCCCTCTCTACAAATGGCGATTTATCAAGACCCACTTGATGAGTCACTACATCGACGCAATTCGCCGTGCAGGCCCTCCACTCCACTATGATGCAAGCATGTTTGAGCACTTTCACAAGGACCATATTAAGAGGCCCTACCGTGCATCCAACAAGCGTGACGCTGGGGGGCAAATCATCCAAGCGGAGGAGGTCCGCTTGCAACTAGATTCGCTACCTCAAGCCGACTTGGACACTACACACGAATACAGTAATGCAATGCGTGAGGTACGTATATATTACAGTGACAAGCAAGCCTTACTTTTTGCGTGAACGATGGTACCATCCTGATTTTTTTTATAAACTGTGTACAGGCTTTGAGGACGGGAGCACGTACACTCTCTAAGAGTTCATGGGGGTTGATCGTTCACGCAAGACGTCGTGAGCACCCATACGTCGGATTCTCCAAGGCTGACCCAAAGCGAGACCGTTTGTATCTGGACAGTCTACATCACGACCTCCCATATCTTCGTCGTTCCATCGATCGCGACGTAACCAACGGCTCGAACATCGACACAATTTACGTACGTTACCCTAAGCATGCTTTTGCTTGTTTAACGCCTTGCAACAATTATGTTATGCTTTTACTAATGATACAATATGTGGCACGCAACTGCTGTACAGGTTCATGTTGAGTTGGCCATGCCTCCCGCGACGGACGAGGCTTTCTCTAGCACCCCACACCGTATCCGAGCGGTTCCGCTGTTCCACAATAAAGTTTGGTTCAGTGATGTTGCAATTCAAGGTACAGGATCAGAGTGGTACGGCAAGGTTCTGCTACTATTCCATGTCGGCCATGGTCTAGATCGACGCGAATTCGCATTCGTGAGGTATTATATCGAACATGACGCGTTAGATGAATTGACCGGCTGCAGACAATTCAGTTTAGAGGGGGTTTCTCAAAGGTACATGGTTGTAGAGACAGCTTCCATCCTTAGAGCTGTCCAATTTGTGCAGCTTGAGTCGGCAGGCCAGACATGGTTCCTCAACCATTTTCTGTTTTGATTGCCGTGTGTTGCATATTTGTATCTATTGTACACTGATATAAGTACTGTTTCATGAAGTAACAGTGTATCTTCTTAGAGAGAGAAAAGAGTGTCGCATAGGAACTGATTTGACCTCGTTAGCACAACTACGCAGCACGTGACGCATGTTTGTGCGTTTGCTGGCCTGAAACTGCGCAAGGATAGGCCTGTGCGCAACATGTCACTGCGCCAACATCTGGATGCCTTTTTTACCACTATTTCTTCACACAGCTCCCTACTACATCCTATTCCCTAGCCATAGGAACTTATTTGACCTCGTTAGCACAACTACGCAGCACGTGACGCATGTTTGTGCGTTTGCTGGCCTGAAACTGCGCAAGGATAGGCCTGTGCGCAACATGTCACTGCGCCAACGTCAGGATGCCTTTTTTACCACTATTTCTTCACACAGTTCCCTGCTACATCCTATTCCCTAGCCATAGGAACTTATTTGACCTCGTTAGCACAACTACGCAGCACGTGACGCATGTTTGTGCGTTTGCTGGCCTGAAACTGCGCAAGGATAGGCCTGTGCGCAACATGTCACTGCGCCAACGTCAAGATGCCTTTTTTACCACTATTTCTTCACAAATTTCTCTACTAAATCCTTTTACCTAGCCATGGGAACTTACTTGACCTCGTTAGCACAACTACGCAGCACGTGACGCATGTTTGTGTGTTTGCTGGCCTGAAACTGTGCAAGGATAGGCCTGTGCGCAACATGTCACTGCGCCAACATCTGGATGCCTTTTTTACCACTATTTCTTCACACAGCTCCCTACTACATCCTATTCCCTAGCCATAGGAACTTATTTGACCTCGTTAGCACAACTACGCAGCACGTGACGCATGTTTGTGCGTTTGCTGGCCTGAAACTGCGCAAGGATAGGCCTGTGCGCAACATGTCACTGCGCCAACGTCTGGATGCCTTTTTTACCACTATTTCTTCACACAGGTCCCTACTACATCCTATTCCCTAGCCATAGGAACTTATTTTACCTCGTTAGCACAACTACGCAGCACGTGACGCATGTTTGTGCGTTTGCTGGCCTGAAACTGCGCAAGGATAGGCCTGTGCGCAACATGTCACTGCGCCAACGTCTAGATGCCTTTTTTACCATTATTTCTTCACACAGTTCCCTACTACATCCTATTCCCTAGCCATATGAACTTATTTTACCTCGTTAGCACAACTACGCAGCACGTGACGCATGTTTGTGCGTTTGCTGGCCTGAAACTGCGCAAGGATAGGCCTATGCGCAACATGTCACTGCGCCAACGTCAAGATGCCTTTTTTACCACTATTTCTTCACACAGTTCTCTACTACATCCTTTTACCTAGCCATGGGAACTGATTTGAACTCGTTAGCACAACTACGCAGCACGTGACGCATGTTTGTGCATTTGCTGGCATGAAACTGTGCAAGGATAGGCCTGTGCGCAACATGTCACTGCGCCAACGTCTGGATGCCTTTTTTACCACTATTTCTTCACACTGTTCCCGACTACATCCTAGTCCCTAGCCAGGGTTCACAGTGTCTTGAGACTCCCCTATCATTTTCAGGGCTTCATAACAACGTTTGGCCTGTGGCGGACACTACAATCCAAACGCCGGAAACTCCGCACTAGCTTCTGGCTTCCCTTGCAAACGAATGCATGCAAAGCCTATCTAGCCTTATTGGATTGAACTACAACTGATAGGGGGGTCTAGACGTGGTGTCTTGAGACCCCCTTATCATTTTCAGATCGTTATGACAACGTTTGGCCTGTGGCGTGCACTAAAAACCAAACGCCTGAAACTCTGCACTAGTTTCTGGCTACCCTTGCTGACAAATGCATGCGAAAACTGTCTAGCTTTATGATGCAATATGTGGTACGTAACTGCTGTACATATTCATGTTGATTTGGCCATGCCACCCGCGACGGGCGAGACATTTAACAGCACCCCACACCGTATCCGAGCGGTTCCGTCATTCCGTAAGAAGGGTTGGTTCGGTGATGGTTGCATTCCAAGGTATAGGAACAGAGTGGTACGGCAAATTTCTGCAACAATTCCATGTCGGCCATGGTACAAATCGCCGCGAATTCGCATTTGTGAGGTATTATATCGACCATGACGAGTAAGATGAGTTCAAGGGTTGTCAACAATTCAGTTTAGAGGGAGTATCTCAAAGGTACAGTGCAGTAGAGACAGATTCCATTCTTAGAGCTATACATTTTGTGCAGCATGACTCGGCAGGCCAGACGTGGTTCATTAACCATTTTCTGTTTTGATGGCAGTGTTGTACAAACATGTATATATTGAGCACTGATTAGTGTCCAGTTGCATTTGAATTCTAGGCTCCTGATTAGTGTATCTACTTGGTGGGAGAAGGGAGAGTCGTGCGCATGATATTGTGTTCTTATAATAGTGTGGATGTCGCCACGTTTGTTGGATTTCATCGTCCCAGACCACGTGGCGGCTATACCGTGGTCATCTCCTTGTAAAATGACCGCAGTGTGGTTGTGCGATTCGTCGCGAGCCCACGGCGTCGCCTGGCAACAGCAAAGGTGTCGCCAGGTACAGAGCTCGACCAGATGAGTCGCGACTCTCAACCACTTTCGTACGCCAATCAGGAGCTCCCCGTCAACATTTTCCAGATGTTAACGACTATAGAAATGGGTTGTGCGACACTTCAACTCACAGCCTTGTCCTTGTTTCTGCCGAGTATGGTGACCCCACGCCCTCATCCCCTTCCTGGAAGTGAGCCTCCTACGGGCCGCCCTCAGAGACCAGTTGTGGTGCCTGCTAGGTACAACACTGGTACACTTGGTGTTACATTACCTGGGCGAAAGGCTAGTGTTACAGCTGCGAATGAGGTTTCAGTCGGTAACCAACCTGACAACTCGACACTAAACCTGCATGGAATGTCGCCTGAGCAGCTTCAGTTTTTGATGTCTCAAGTCAGTGCGGAGTTCACCCGCAAGAGCTCCTCCAGTTCTGAGTCTGGCAACCTGCTCACGCCAGATCTCGTCGATCAGCAGCTCTCGTCTGACGAGGCCGATGCGGACGAGCCTGGCGCAGTTCGCAACCTTCCATTAGCGCCTGAGGCAGGTCCACAGACAGACATTGGATCTGCCGATGGTCAGCTGCCGGTCACACTCGCGCCAGCGTTAGAAGCAGCGGACGATGTGGACGAAAATGAACCTGGCGCTAGCGAAGACGACGACGACAGCGGTAACGACGACCGCCCCTCTCCTCGGCGCAGGAAAGGTTCTGTTGCCGCTATGCATGCCGGTGCTTCTAACCCCACCTCGAAGCGGAAGGGTAAACGCTAGAAAAAACCGGAAGGTGAGGATACGTGTACCCGTTGCTGATTACTTGCTAAGGTATCGATTCCTTGCTGACTCTGTGTTGTTGCAGTTTTATTTAAGCGTGTGACTAATCCTTACCCATTGCTGTGTTCGTGGTGGATGTTCCCCGTGTGATCATGATGTGATCCTGGATGTGAAATGGATGGTGTTTTGCAGAAGTTGTTCAGGAAGTTGACAGAGCGCAGGCTGCAGCTTCTGATCACCAGCGCACGGTCGAGTTGCAGCAGGAGACACTGGCGGACGTTCGGCGGCAACTGGAGGAGAGCCAGCGGGCGAATCAACTGCTCCGGGCGAGCAGCTCTGCCCCAACTTCCGCGCTGCCCCCAGCGAGCCGTAGCCCCAACGCTGAGGTCAACGTTGCAAGTACTTCACGGGGCCACAACGTGGCCCGTTCAACTATGGCGCCTGCGGTCGCACATGTGGCGGTCGGACGATCGCTGGCAACATCCACGATTCCTGCGTCGCTCGCGCCAAATGCCTCTCGCTCACTTGTCGCCCCCCTCGCTCATCCGGGACCCCCAGCACCTCGACCGGCTGCTCTTGAAACTTCGCCCAAGCTTCCGGAATCGCTTACCGAGCTCACCTTTTTCACAGTAAACCATGCGCATTGATTCTGAATACCCGCCACCTAGCTTACGTTTATACCTTCAATGTTCCGCTCGCAACCTCCCCACCCACCCCCGTACCTTCTGTACCTTGATCCTATGCTCGCAACCTCGTATTCCCACCCACCCTCGCAACCTTCTGTACCTTGATCCTGTACTTCGCAAGCCTGCATTCCCACTCTGATCCTATGCAACCCGCGCTTTCTACATTGGCTTCAACCCGCGCTCCCTTGCACTTTGCATATCCGTCTTGTAATGCATGGCAGGCAAAGTGCAACCAAGCGGTTCTGTACTTCATTGCTGAAGCTCCCCCGAGGGAGATTAACTTTTGGCCTGAGCCGCGGGAGTTGAGGCAGCAACTCATCCGTACGTATCGGATGGTGAACGTTTCCGAGGAAACGTTCAACCTTGTCATGAATTCTCACCCGGAACGGGAGAGGATTCTTAAAGACAAGGTCGGCGAGCGTCGGGGCAACCTCTTCACGCAGGTCAAGACGTGGGCACATGGGCCAGGCGGGTTCGTCAGGGAATCGAAGATTCCCATGCTGGCTGCTGAGAACATGGCGCCGGTGCAGCGCCGCAACGTCCAGCAGTGGCACCTTTTCTATTTTGATGGTAAGTACGCGCCTCGTTTTTAACGTTGCATGCCCCGAGCACTTCCAGCCCTTGTTTCCTGAGTTCCACATGTATTGTGCTTACATCAAGCGGATTTCTGTGCTTGCAGCCGTTTATGGCAGCAAGTGGCACTGCGATCCTGACACGGGGCGCCCGTTTGCCAACAAGGCGTTTGATATGGCGCTCTGCAAGGGACTTGGCGGTCGCAGGTGTAAGACGATGTTTGCCAAGATCCCAGTGGTGGCAACGATTTGCCATGTGGTGAGTTTGTTTCCCATGCATTGTTTGTTTCCCTTGCCAATGATCCAGTTCTTGCTCTAGCACACCCTCTCTCTCCCTGCTCCCCATTCTGCAATGCACCTCTCCCTCACTGTCCTGATTTTTTCCAACACACCCCCCTATCCCTGCTCCCCATTTTCCCATATATTTTCAAATGTACCCTGCAGGTTGAATGGCCCATGGCAAATGCTGGGAGCCGTGACATGCCTGCCCCAGATGGCAGTGACTCCAACAACAGGAGGGAAGTGCAGCTGAAAGTGGGGGTGATCATTGATTGGATTAAGGATAGGTTATCCCGGGGGGATAATATCTATCGCGACACTGCCCCTGCAGGCTTTCAGATGGGAGCAAACCCGTTAGTGCGTATTGTGATCGCAGGGTTTGAGGACGAGTTTGCTGGGTTGCTGCCATAAACCCTGGTTTTCTAATTGTAGTTTTGCTGCTCTAATGTATGCTCATTTTCTACAATAATTTGATAATCACATTATTTTTATTACTATTATTAGGGTGCTACCATTAGCTAATGATTGGGTGTTTTCAGGAAGTTCAGGCCTAGTTATGTTGGCATTTGAGTGAATGTAAACAAGGACAATTTGGCTATTTTTATCAGAACTAGAAACAACTGTGAATGGCACTATGGTTCACTGCCATTTCAACCCCAGTAAGTGGAGAACTCTGACCCTGGCGCCATGCTGATTTACGGCCAATAAGGGCCATCCCGGGTAATTAACGGTCCGGCAATTATCGACCCCAATACGGCTAAAGTCTGCCTTATTTACAGCCGGGCAATTATTGGGCGTAGATACATTGTTTACAACCTAAGTTTGGATGTTAACGCCCGGAAATAGACCTGACATTTTTGAGATGCTTTTCGCCATTCCTCGCGCGCCACGACAGCTCTTCAGCCTCGTCTGCCGGGCAAGTCGCCAAGCCCCTGGCGTGGAAAGGGAAGATCGTTGGTGAGTCTGCAACTCTCTTCGTGGGTGCATTGAGCTATGGTCATCCAATGTTCAGCAAATGTTTTCTTTGCACATGCTTTTGCGCATGACGACCGCTCGCCCAGTCCTTGTTCCTGTGGTAGAGCGTCTGTCTACTCTTAAATCACTGGTGTCATCAGTGCCTTGAACCACCGCGAGGTCGTCTCACGTTGTCAGGCCGTTTCATTCAGTGGTGTCGTCAGTGGTGCTAGTACCCTTAACTACCCGATATCTGTCCCCATGCGCCTCCTTCGCTGCTCCGTTGTCAGATAAGTACACAGCCAAGTTGCGTCCTAATAAGGTCAACGGTGAAGTGGTTGGCGACAAGCATGCGTCGGGGAACTTCATTCTCAAGGCACTGAGGTGCGTCGTGCGATTCTATTGTATCCGCTGCTGCTGTTTGGACTTATGATCAAGCCTAGTAACGACTTTTATTTCTGTTCTTTGAGCGTGTGGCGCAGCACCCATCCCCGTCCACCTTCCCATTTTGGCAACTCTTTGCCCCTTCCCTTCTGCCCTCTCGCTTAACCCCCACTTCCCCCCCATCCCCCCTCCCCCCTCCGCATTCCTCCTCATCCTTCCTACTGGCAACCCCAACCTTAACTCCCCACCCCCTCCTATACCCCTTTCCCCTCTCCCGCAATGCCCTGTTGACAGGTACTCTGCAACTTCATACTATCTTACTGCAATTGCCAGCATTAAGTTCGACTCGGATGGAAAATTCCCTCTCGTAGGTTTCGCTGCGTCCTGCTTTACTTCCCAGGTTACAGGTGGCGGCCAATTCCCTTGGGTGAACACCACCAGTGACAAGACTGGCCGCAACAAGCTTTACAGCTTTACAGGACGAATGGATGTAGGCCCTTCAACTCTGGCTGACGTCCGTACGTCAATTGTGCAGGCGATGGCCTTTGGCAAATACATTCGAGTTGCGTACGGACAGAACCTGTTCGCACTTTGCGGGAAGTTAAAGAAAGTGAAGTAGTTGCGGCACCCAAGTTCAGTGCTTTGAGCTTCCTAGTCTACAGAATGAATGTGGATTTGCATGGTTGGGATGGGATGCTATAGTCTTGTTGAAAGTGTTTGTAAACGGACGTGTTTGAATTGAACCATAACTTGGCAACCGTCAGAAATTTACAGGCGTTATGAGACATAGGTATGCATAGTAGTGCGTAGGAATTGGGGGGGGGCTAGGTGTCAATATTATGGAGCAACCTAGGCTAGAGTTACTATCTAGCCTCGGAGCATGGAGAAAGTTAAGAGAGGAGTTTCAATGGTAACAAGGAGATTACAATGTCAAGATAGCAAGCAGGAATGATTGCATTGAATGAATTGTGGGTACAAGTACTAACTCTAATATTGGGTTGTACCCCACTATAACCTACACACAACTAGCACAGATATGGTTTGACACACCCCCTGAGGCAAAGTGGGGGAGAACAAGGGGTCACAAGACCAGTCAAGAAAAACAAAGCAAGCCCAGGGTGGATCACAACGTCACCACACACTCCAAACACAAGCAAAAGGCCACAAGGCCAGTTCACATTCAGAGGTATATATGCAACTGTTGGAAAAAATTGATTTAAGCGCCCCTGTCGTGTCGAAACACCAAGTTCAAAAGCGAAGCACAACATATCGAAGCATCAGCGAGTCAACCCTCAGAGGTTGAGCAACTGCTGGAGGTTACGCGAAAGTCAAAGGTCAGCGACCTTTGACCTGACAAGTACAGCGCGACAGCAAGGACAAACAATTGACTCGCTATTGAGAAGTTGCCCGAGTCGTCACTGTATCGAACCGCAACAGCAACAGCAAAACAATTATTAGTTGTAACTGTTCATACCCCCCTTGTACTCTTATAAAAGCTTGTATCTCTTTGTTTTAATCAATCTACTTTGCCCTCACATACCAGCGCAAGGTGGTTCACAACTCTTCATTAAACGCTTCCGCTATTACATCAGTCCTACCAGGAATTTAGTCCTGCAAAGATCCTAAGGGCTACTTCTCAGCCCAACATGGTATGAGAGCAATCAGGACAAATTCAACTACAATCAAGACACCCACAACGTTACAAGGCATGCAACACAGAAGGAGAGAAGCTCCTCTAACGGCTCTCCTGGTACTACTCCTACTCCACCTCCTGCCTCTGGCCTACAGACAGAGGAGGGTACGGCAACAAGACCAAGGGCAACATCTATCGAAACTCCCACAAACCAAGCCGCGGGCTTCGACCCAAGCATGATGGAGAAGTTCTTCTCCTTCATGTCCTTCTACGAACAACACCAGCAAGGGGTACCTGCGCAGTCAAACAACAGCAACAACAAAAATGACGTGACACCTATGAGTCTCGATGGCTCGTCTTACGCGCGCGGAAATCAACAGCAGCAGCCTACCTTCGCTCCGTACGAGCCCCAGCGCGGCTCCATCAGCTTTATGCCACACCCGCAGCCTGCACCTGGACAAGAGAAGACATTGGACGCACTTCAAGTTCAGTCACAGTTCGCACACGTCCTAAAATTGCAAACGACAAGGCCTTTCGACGGAAAGGACTTCTTTACCTGGTCATTCGAGTTCGAGCTGATGATGGAAGGCGCGCACATTCTTGGCTTCTTCGACGGGTCCCTGCCATACCCAACACACGGCACACAATACGACAAGCAGCGGTACACGTATCAGTCGATGATGGCGTACACAATCCTACTGAGAAACATCACTCCGAATCAGCAGCAGAATATACGGTCTTACCGGGGATACGGCAACTCTGCAGAACTCGCGTACAATCACCTGAAGAACCTGTATCAAGCAACAAACAGCGTCAATCAAAGTCGGTTAATGGCGCAACTGACAACAGTCGAAATGAAACCGGGCGAAAAGGGAATGGCGTATATCAGCCGTTGTCGCGAATTGCGCGACAAACTCCTTCGGTGCGGAGGGTCGATTTCAGAAGACGCCTTCGTCACAGTCATCATCGGTGGACTCGGTCCTCAGTGGCGCTCCACTCACGCCATACTCCGAGCTCACGGAAAAATATCAGAAGCAGCACTCTGCGCCGAGATCCACGCTGAGCAGCAAGATATGGACCTGCAAGAAGAACGACACAAGAGGAAGGCATCAGTACCCGAATTCGCATTTCACACTCAACGGCGCTACAACAACAACAACAATCGGAATCAACCGAAACCAGTACCTCCGTTCTGTCACCTTTGTAAGACATCAGGCCACCCCCGTACGCACTGCCCAAACCGGCAGCAGTCAACGCCAACGCAGCGACCACTTCGCCCTTCAAGCCGTCAAGTCGCCTCAACGCAAGCGAATCCGACCACTCAAGCACAAGCCTCAACAACACCGACGGGACAATCTGCGCAAGGAACAAGAAACATCGTCAGTTGCATGGCACGGCTGACCGACTCCTGCATCACTGAATCGCCACCACATTACTCACCAGAAGAACAACTTGAAGAAAGAACTCCTCGCCGCGAGACACTGGAGCCAAACCCAACCTACACTGCTATCGCCCAGAGCGAGCCGTCCGGGAAAGATACTCGGTTCTTGGACAGTTGCTGCGGACAGCACATGTGCTCTTCAGAGCGCTTTGTTCAACGCGAACACCAACTTCAACGCGAGGTCGTCATCACAGTCGCCAACAATCAGAACCTGCGCACACGACGACAAGGCGTAGTGCAACTTCAGTCACGAGAAACAAACGTCATTCTGCAAATGTCGAAGGTTTTAATAGCAGAAGGGCTCTGTTACAACTTACTGAGCGTCAGTCAACTGATGGCGAAGGGCATACACCTCGAAGCAGATAGCACCGCTCAGGAGTTCAAGTTGTACCACGGAAGAGGAGGTCTCTACATCGGCAAGGCAGTCCTGAAGAACAACGACTTCGTCCTCGACTTCGTCCCAGACCTTGGCACAGCCGACAGCGACGGGATCGTCACCTTCACCTCCTGGACACATCCACCGGATCTTGACCCCGACTTCAGTCCCGAAGGCTTCTGGTACTCGCACACCATTCCTGAGGCAGAACGAACAAGAGCATTAGCAACGATTCAACAATCGGAAGCTACAGAGACAACATCGGCAGCAGCAGAGACAACATCGGCAGCAGCAGAAACAACGGCAGCAGCAGCGGCAACATCGACACCAATTGCTGGCCCTTCAACTGCACCGACTCCAATCGACGACGACACTTCACCAACTCCCGCGCAGCAGCTGAACCCAACTCAACGGGAAGTCCATCGAAGCGCCAACTTCACCGCCAGCTTTTACTCCAACTCCGACATATATCGGCGCTCACCCGGACATCGCGCCACCAAAGATATCTGGCACGCACGAATGGGAAATCCAAGCAACACGGTGTTAAACAACACAATCAGAGCAGGCGTGCTCGATAAAGATTCACTGCTCCTAACCGACGGAAGCGAACTTCGACGAGCTCG